GAGGTGGTGTATGTTTCTATATCAAAAATGATATTGCATTTAATATTATGGATGCTATAAGTACTGGAGATACGGAATCCCTGTGGATAAATTTGCTTATACCAAGATCAAAACCAATTGTTGTTGGCGTTCTGTATCGACCTCCGAAAAACAATTTGTTTATCGAGAAATTGTCCAATATTCTTGATACATTAAAGAAGGATGACGAAATAATTCTTTTAGGAGACATGAATATTTGTCTTCTTCGCAAATCGCCACTGGCTAAAAAATATATTGACTTGTTGAGTCTTCATGGGTTTAGTCAACTCATTAAAGAGGCAACACGCGTTACACCTACATGTTCTTCTCTATTGGATCATGTTGGTTGTACCAAAGAAAATAAAATAAGTCAAAGTGGTGTCATTGATCTAGGTATTAGCGACCATTATTTTACTTTCTGTACACGGAAAAATGTTAGACTGGCTATAGGTCATCACAGGACTAATGATATCAGATCCATGAAAAAATATACAGAAGAGTCTTTCAATCTTCAACTATCTGTTGTTGATTGGTCACGAATAACTGACTGTACAGATGTAAATGAGGCATGGTCAATATTTCAACATGTTTTTATCTCAAATTTGAATATGATAGCGCCACTGAAACGGATAAGAATAAAACAAAGATCAGAAACTTGGGTGACTAAAGATATTCTTTCCCTAATTCAAGAGAGAAATATAGTATACAAAAAATGGAGGAAAAGAGCAAAAGATGAGAAGCTCTATAAAAGATACAGAGTATTAAGAAATATGGTCCAAAGAGAGGTGAAAAAGGCTAAACTCGTTTACTTACAAAACAAGATAGAAGAAAATAAACAAGATTCGAAAAAACTTTGGCAGAATCTAAAAAGCTTAGGATTGAAAAATAAGAAGCGAAAAGAACAAGAATCTGTCATTAAAATTGATGGGAAATTATGTCATGATAAGATGGCCATCGCTGATGAATTCAATTCTCATTTCACAAATGTGGCTGCCAAATTAGTAGACAAACTCCCCCCTTCCAAAGACTTTTTCAGCGCAGACAATGATTGTATTCGTGACTTTTACGAAAGAAAAGGTGTACGTGAAAACAGCTTCGAGTTATTACCAATCAGTGAACAATTTGTTTTCAAAGAGTTACGTAAGTTGAATGTATCAAAAAGTACTGGGTTAGACTTGATTCCAGCTAAATTTCTAAAAGATGGTGCGAAGGTTTTATTTAAGCCTCTAAGTTACTTAATGAACCTATCTATCTTGACGAGTACTTTTCCAGAGGATATGAAAATAGCAAAAGTGACTCCACTTTATAAAAAGAAAGATAAAACTGATGTTAGCAACTATAGACCTATTAGTGTTTTAAGCGTAGCATCAAAGATTCTAGAAAAATCGGTCTGTGTTCAAATTGAAAGATACTTCAAAGAAAAGGATATAATTTATGAATTTCAATCTGGTTTTCGACATGATTATTCGACTGAAACATGTCTAATTCATTTGACTGATTATTTGAGGAGAGAAACTTCCCAAGGGCGCTTTGTTGGTATGGTGCTTCTTGATCTGCAAAAAGCTTTTGATACAGTTAATCATTGCGTCTTATTGAAGAAGTTACAACTAATGGGTTTTGATAAGGGAAGTTTAGATTGGTTTAGATCCTACTTATCTAATCGGCACCAAGTAGTGGCCATTCATGATATTCGTTCCAAACTAATGCCTATAACTTGCGGTGTTCCTCAGGGAAGCATTTTAGGCCCAATTCTATTTTCAAGTTATATAAATGATATGTGTATTTGTATAAAAGACTTCAAACTATTATTGTACGCAGATGACAGCGTACTACTCTATTCAAATCCTGATCCTAAATATATTGAGGAAAAGCTCAGTGAACAGCTGTCTACGTGTGTCGATTGGATGACTGATAATAAGCTTTCTTTACACTTGGGAAAAACAGAAAGCATTTTATTTTGTTCTAAAAGTAGTTCTAAAAAGTCATTTGAATTCAAAGTGACACACAATAATCAAGCAATCAAGAGAAAAGGGTCTGTGAAGTATTTAGGCATTGAGTTGGCTAGCGCAATTTCATTTTCATCTTTAGTAGAATCAGTTGTAAAAAAAGCAAATTCTCGTCTGAAATTTTTGTACAGATATCAAAGTTGTATGGATTTAAAAGCAAGACGTACACTCTGTTTTGCTCTTATTCAATGTTTATTTGACTATGCTAACCCTGCATGGTATAGTAACATAAACAAGTCAGATCAAAAGAAGTTGAAGATTATACAGAACAAAATGGTGAGATTTATCAACTGTTCTGGTCCAAGAACTCATGTTGGCTACAGCGAACTTTCTAAAGCTGGTTTTCTTGAAGTCGACCAAAGATCAAAACAACTCGTATTGCATCATGTGCATAAAATATATCATACTAGGTCGAATCATTATATTCGATCCAACTTCGATCTTGTTACTGACGTACATGATTATAATACAAGAAATAGACGATTCAACTTTAACTTACCTGAAAGAGTAGGTAGTATTGGAAATTCGTTTTATTACAATGCCATAAAACATTGGAATTCCCTTCCCAATGGTGTAAAAGAAATAGGAAACTATGATCATTTTAAGAGGAAATTAAAGGAATACCTAATACTTGACAGTCAGAGAAGAGAAGTGAATGACATGTTATATGATTGAAATTTTAATTCTTCTGTCGGTTCATACTTTTTCATGTTGTATATACTTATGTTTTCGTACGTTATAGAAATTCTACAAATTCATCATTATTTTCCTCTTCTTCCTTCTCCTCTTTTTCTTCTTCTCCTTCTTCTTTTTCTTCTTGTACTTAATATCGTTTCTATCATCAGTTTAATGTTGTTATTATTATTATTATCTTTAATAAGTAGTTCTTTTAATTTTCTTATCTGTCTGTAAATATTACTATTTTAACTTATTAATTTTATACATGTCTGTAAGGGACCCCACTGGAAATAAGCTCTCGAGCTTTCGTGGGTTATCCTGTTCAAGCTGATTTTTTTGATCTGTTATTATTGTATATTGTTGTATGTTGAAGCTTGTCGAATAAAAATCAATCAATCAATCGTACGTATGTACCTGCTCACATACTGACAATTGACGCTATATATTCCAGAATCTGGACGGTGTCATTTTTATATCGCAATCTCTCCATCCCCTACCTGCTGCTAGCCGAAGATGGCGTGATCCTCGATTCTATAAAGGGACACTAATTTGTACACAGCGATGGTACGCCAAGCCCAGCCTTTTTTTTTCGCCTGGCGTAGAATTTCGGGGACCACGCAAAATAGATCGCGCGACGTTGGTTGAGATCCAGGGGAGGCGGGGCGTTTTCCAAAGTGTGTGTTAGGGGGGGGGGGGGGGGGGGGGGGGGGGGGGAACCAACGGATATTGTCACTTTCTGGGGGAAAAGTGGGCACCTGCAAATTACAAGGGGAAAACGTCAAAGCATATAAATCCCTATATTCTGATTACATTATCATCATGATTTCAATATTCTCTTTACATGGTCCAAGATGCATCATACTTTGCAGTTGGTGTGAATGGTGTGAATACTCAACTAAGACCTACAGAACTAGGCAAAAAATGTAGCATTTGTGAGGTCGCATTGCGAAATTAAAATATATTTATAAAGAGGAAAAACACAATCCTAATGGGGTTTTAAGCACAATCTCATCATGAAAGACTGAAAAGACCTTAAATAAGTTACACAATAATCAACTATAAGTATAAATGCGAGCAAGTTTTGGGGAAAATTATAGGTATAACGTTGCTCTAAGTCATAATCGACTATAGGGGTGGGCCTAGGCGCGTACGCAGGGGGGGGGGGGGATGTTAAGTTGGTTACCCCCCCCCCCCCGTCAATTTTTTTCTTGAAAAAAATTATACTCCCCCCCCCCCCCCCCCCCCCCCCCCACTCCCCCACTGAGCGAATTATTGGTAAGCGCGATTTTCTGATTTCGGGGGGCAAAAAAAGAGGAAAAAAAGAATTGTTGCTCACTACCCCCGCCACTGAGCGAATCATCGGTCGTCGCGATTTTCTAATTTCGGGGGCAAAAAAAATAAGTGTTCCTCACTGGAAAGGATAAGGGACACGTGTCATAATAAAGTGACACTTATCTAAGATGAAAAGGGGCACTTATTAGAAGGGCAGTGTCACGTCTTAAAAAGAGAAAAGGGTCCTTATCAAAGTAAAAGTGGATGAAGGGGGCGCTTATCAGAGATAGTTAAGGGGCACCTATTACGTATAAGAATGTGGAACGGGCACATAAAAAGAAAAAGGGGCCACATAAAGTTAAATAAGTATGGGGCGGCACTGAACTGACTATACCCCCCCCCCCCCTCCCCGGGCGTTCCGCCTCTGTGGAGATTAATAAAAACAAATTTTAAATCGGTCAGATTCTGGACCATATAAAGGCATAGGATCTTTCTTTCTTCTTTCATATCAGTTCCGTAAATCATTATTCATTATCTCATCTTGTACTTTTCAATCATAATATTTGCGTCGACAGATTATGAAATTTTGCTTTCCTTGAATTTACTGCCCGTGGCGCTATCACATAGGACTTCATGCAGTGCCTGTACCTTTTGAAGTACATTTGTAAGAAAATTGTGTTATTATGAAAAGGACTAGGCCTCCCTAGGCCTATGTCTATTTGTCATCGCAATACTTTTTTTCCTTTCGTTCCTACAGCCCTACATCAACCTCACTCAGACATGTAAATTGTTCTTGAGGTATAAGAATGTTTCTTTCTTTTTTGTAGAAATCATTTTGATCTTAAATTAAGTCCAATATTCAACATTGTGTTGCGATGAATACTTGTAGTATTAATACTACTACACCGAAGTTTCTGTCTCTTTCGTTCGTAGCCTCTGATTTGATTTGGGCAGGGTCTGTGTTGGCAAAATTGTGCTCGGATCGGAGGCCAAGCAATTTTTCATGCATATTCATCTTTCGCAGCCTCATGAATATTTATAAGGAACAGCTTGATCTTTGCTATTGGATCACGTCACGCGGTCGAAGTTTCGGTCGTAGATTTTAACTTTTCTTCAAAATATTAGCCTAAATAAAGCCAAATTTCATGGAACATCATGAGTTATGGACCAGATTGCGGCTAATTGCTGAATGACATGCCGTCATATATCGACTAGCTAGGTAGGAAGGCCAGTGTCTGAAGCACCGCTCACTCTTCACATCAGTCTTCAGTCCCATATGCTACATTCTGTGTTCGTAGGTATTTTTTTCCATAGGCTACACGATAACAATTAACATAGAAATTCGGATACCCTACCATAATGTTAGCTGTAGAAGTAAATTGTGATTTTATTGTTTGCGATAACGTTGATACAGGTAGGCCTATTGAATATTGTATAATGCAAGTGTTAGTAATCATTTGGTGGATGAAAAGTTAAATTTTACGCTGTTTTGTGCGATACACTTTGAAATCGGTCAACGACAAGGGTTAAGGCCAGGATGAAGAAATTAAAATAAAATCTGAGAAAGTGAGATTTTGATACCAGAGGCAGGGCCAGGGTGAAACTGATTTCCTTATCTTCCAATAGGCCAGTTTCGGCGGTTACGTAATGCGCGGTTACTGTAACCAAGCCCGACAAGCTTTGTCAAATCACCATTTTGAATCTGTGCATTGTGTATTAGACTGTCGGTTCTTGCCGTTAAATTGCATTCATATCTTTCTATCAAAACTGCGTGTATATAGACCTATATGAATTTCTGTTTTGGCCGGAAATGTCTTTCAACTTGCCATTCATCAAGCTGAGTTTCAGGCAGCTGCAATATTTTCTAAGAAAAAGAGGAGTTTCGACTTAGGCCTGAGTCATGTCGGGATTTTCATAAACCGGGTCCCGACGGCCTTGCACCGGTCGGGACCCGGTGTCCCGAAATCAGCTCGCAGGATTTGTCACTTGCCTCTATAAAAAGCGCATATCATCAGTATGTCCCTTAAAAGTGACATTTTTATCAGTCAAATAAATCAACACATGCATACCTCGGCACAGATTGGAATATTCTTCCATTTGACATTATATTCATCCATGATTGGCGATGTTTAGTGCCATTATCGTGCCTCTAAAAGTAAAAAACTCGAGCAAAAATATAAAGACTACAATCGAGCCGCCATTTTGATTTATGCAGGTTGAATAAATCTGGTCAAAAATATGAATGTTAGAATAATAAAACAGCTTTCTAAAAAATTCTTCTATACAATATACCGATCATATAATATTTTAAAGGCAAAAATAAATATTTATCTCTTATTTTAAACATCGCATGCTTTTTTTTAAAAGCTGAAAATTACTTGGTAATCACAAGAAGTTTCGATACGAATAGCTGTTGCAAGGCAAGTTCAGACTAGTCTCGGAAAAATGCGCAGTGCTCCTCGTTATCTGTAATGCGTGCCAGAACGAACCCAAACAAAGACGTGATCGTAACGAGAAAAAAATCATTAAAAACTACGAGAGCACAATTGGAAAGATATACTGCTCAAAATTACCATAATCAGATACATAACTTGGACAAAGAATTCAATAATCGCCCAAGAAATGCCAGAGAAATTGTGATAATCGAGGAGTAACTGGGTACATTTTTATCGCAAGGGGCCTGCTGCAAATACTCGAATCCTTTGTTATACTGCTTTTTACCGTAGAGGGCGGTATTTGCCTCGTGTTCAATTTAAACACGTTTAGATATATTGCAGCAGGCCCTTCCGATAATGATTGTACCTATAGTAACTCATTAAATATCACTATTTAAGTGGCTTTTCTTGGACAACTATTGTATTCTTCCTCCAAGTTATGTATCTGCTTACGATAATTTTGAGTAGTTGTCTTTCCAATTGTACTCTCGTAGTTTTTAATGATTTTTTTTCTCGTTACGATCACGTCTTTGTTTGGGTTCGTTCTGGCACGCATTATAGCTAACAAGGAGCACTGCGCATTTTTCCGAGACTAGTCTGAACTTGCATTGCAACAGCTATCCGTATCGAAACTTCTTGTGATTACCAAGTCATTTTCAGCTTTTAAAAGAAGCATGCGGTGTTCAAAATCAAAGAAAAAATATATATTTTGTCTTTTAAAAATTATTCGATCGGTATATTGTAAAGAAGTACTTTTTAGAAAGTCGTTTTATTATTCAAACATTAATGTTTCTTTCAACCTGATTTATTAATTCTGCCGAGAGACCCGGCCAGTACAGTAGCTAGCTAGCAGCTGGCAACAACAACCCCATGGGGCGAACTGCTTTGCAACCCATATTTATATCAGCAGTTCGGATTGATTCTGGATGAGCTAGAATACGATTGGTAACAATTAAATACTTAAGTTTTAGGGTGGACTGATTTTAGTGGTGTGCAAAACTGCAATTTCTTACATATTTCATTATTTTTTTTCGGAGCACCGGTTCTCAAAAAACGAAACCGGGACCCGACGGCAACGGTCGGGTCCCGGTGTGATCGACCGTACCGACTCAAGCCTATCGACTACGGTATACACCCGAGAAAAGACTCGTTAAATTAGCGTCCGCAGTAGCGGACTAGCCTGCCCGTAGCCCCTGACCTACGGGGTCCGTGTCACTCGGTAGACGTGACTGTATGGGGAAATTACAACGGGCAGGATTTTCGTTAAGTGAACTGGTTACATACCTCCCTTAAGTTTGACGATATTCCTGACTTTGGGACCTATGACATATTCAATTATCTAGTAGAGAATATGGCGGACCATGCATTTATGATCGTCGAAAACTGAAGGCTTTTAAGAGTTTTGAAGACTTTCGATTGATATTTCCCGATGGCCATAGATTATGTGGCCTGGAGAAACCGAGTACAATCCCCCCTCTAGTAAGCTCTCGGCAGCTCATGATAGCGACTCGTGACTACATTATACAGGTCAAACCGACGCAAAAAGACCAACTTGAACAAAAATAAAAAATATATAAATAATAAACAAATAAAAAATAGAAGTCTAGACTAGATCTAATAGAAAATGTAATAACAATTTTATTTTTAGACCTCTAAATGTTTTTTTAAAATAATAATAATTGCTTCTTGAAGTTGAATAACGAAGGTCCGGCATAATAGTAGTCTAATACTATTAACTTTTATTTTATGAAAATCAAACTTAATTCCTAATCTTATTCTAAACAATAAAATTATTCATCATCCTGATTCTTCTTCCTTGCCATCATAAGGTTTTTTTTTTATTATTAGGCCTACTTTTATTATTCACTTTTTCCATTGCTCTATCATTCTTTTTCCTTGTTCATTCTTTTTCTTCATTTTTTCCGTTCAAAATTATTTTTTTATCATTATTCATCATTCTTATTCTAGCTCTCTGTCATCGGACGATATTATTTTATAAATATTATTTTATCAACAAAGACCTTATATATATATATTATTATATTATTACCTTTATTGTCATTATTTCTCGTTGCTTTTGTTAATAATATTGATTCTGCGGTCAGTGCTTGCTTCTCGTTAGCCGTTTCTCGTCCGCCTTGAAATAGTCCGTATCGAGGCGTTTCACAAACATTTTTTAATCCGTAAAATTGTTTTCATTTTGAAAATGTGAATCGCGCCTACACGAACACGAACATGTGGTACGCGCGCACGCTTCTGCAAGCAGAGGTGACTGTGTGTGCGAACGAGTAGAAAATAGTTCATCACTTCTTTCATTTCTACGTCCAAATTTGTACTCAGATTCAAGCTAAGGTAAATGCAAAATTGAATGGAAATTACCGATATCGGCTAGCTAACTTATATTTTGGTGCTTCGCTTTCTGTTTCATCACTGGCTATCAAGCCAATGTCGCTTGTATCATCGACCTCGTTTTTCTTCTTTTTGAGGGGGTATCGTGCGCTGCCTGTTCCGGGGACTTGGCCGAACAGGTTTAGCTGCAAGATGTGAATCGCTAGTTCTGTACCAGCAATGCTTTTCTATTATTCTTGCCTAAGACTCAGCGATTTTAAAGATCAAATGTATGAAGAACAAAATCACATCTCAAAGATATTTATTATTCAAGTTCGAAACTGCCTCCTTTTTCTTCTCTCTCTCTCTCAAAATAGCGAAAACAAACGATACAATCACACCTAGCGAACACAGTCATGTATGGTATGCACGCAGAGTGTAGTCTGCTACGCACCGCGAGTTCTTTGCTTGTCCGACCCTCCGATTACGTAATGCGATTTAAAGGTCTCTGAATACATTACGAAACTGGCCTATTCTACGTGTTCCTTATGCTAATTAGTGAAGGTGTGATTAACATTACAAAAACGCTGACCTCTACTCTAGTAATTTATTGTGAGAGTTTGCGATGTTGGTTCTGGCTGAAATGCAAAAAAAAAAATGAGTTCGAGTTGCCAATTACTCTTTCTCATTTCATTTTGTTTCTCCCTCCCCCCCCCCCCCCCCCCCCCCCCCTCCCTAAAAAAAGGCTGGCTTAGGGATCTGATTTTGAAAAAAAATTGACCAAAAAAGACGATGGACTGTGTATACCTTTGCAGTGTCCATGATGAAGGTCTCATTTAATGACGGTATGGTGGATTTAAAAATTGCATGAGTTGAAATAATACTTATGAATTGAGCACTAGGAATATACATGTAGACAAAGGCATGGTAGGATGTAAAGATCTATATTTCAATGTTTTTCTATTTCTTACATAGTCTTGTTCTTGATTCCAGAATATGAATAATTATTGATATGAGATTTGACATTTCATTATCATCACGTTTAATCTTTATTAGTATTTCATGTTGCAATGATGCATGGTTTCAATACAGATGAGACTGAAAGCTTCTCAAACTTGATGTTTTACCTCTGTTTTTTCAGGTTTTAACATCTTGAAGTCCATTTCCTGGTAAGATGTATAGTGGAGATGACTGTGAAGAAACGGGGGAGGATGTGGAGTTGGAGCGTTATGGATTGACAGAAGGACAGAACTCGGGATCAGGAGAGTCAGACACAGAGGATGCCCTCTATAGACAGGTTCATTACAACATCGGCAATGACAACAATATTCAAAGCACCGCGCAAGGGGACTCAGAGTCAAATATTGGAATAGAGAAAAGCCCACCAGCTGTAAATCCCGGAAATGGCGACAATGGTGAGACTAGTTTGGACACTGCTGACTTTCTGGTTGCTTCCGATAACGATGACGACGATGATGATTTGGAGAATAATTGGAGAAGAGTAGGAAATGATAGTAAGTACAACGTGAGCTTCAGAACTAAGACCAAACATGGTATTGCAGACATACAAAGTAGCCGGAAGAAGAAAGCTGTTTTCATCGTGAAGGATGATTCAGGATCTGATGTAATTTTCTTAGATGTGAAAACCAAAGCCCAAGAGATAAAATGTGAAGAAAAGGTGAAACAGGAAGAGGGGAACCCTAGGAAGAGATCGTGGAGGAAAACATCCGATGATGATGAGGATAGGACAAAGGTCACCAAGATAGATCGGACTAGATTTTCCTCTGCACGTCAGGCTACAGAACCTTCAGCCACCTCGTCCAGAACTTCCAAGGTGGTGGTCATTGCTGATGACTCTTCGTCAAGCTCTGTTGTGGTGTTGGACTCGTCGGAGAGAAGCGAAGAAGACGTTGCGAAACCCAAACAGCGTCCTCTAAAGGATGGCGGTGAGTTCTTCCTGGATAGCAAAGGTATGGCCTTAGAGGATGTCCACAGGGAAAAGGACAGCGCTGAGCTGGGGTGGAAGGCGGAGCGGATGAAGACCAAAGCGATGTTAAAGGAAGGCGTCGAGATCATCGACCTCAGCAGTGGGGAGGAGGACTGCATGGTCATTGGGTCGTGCAGTGAAGAGGAAGGTTTGCACGTCCACTTTGAAGGAAAGGGAGATCAGACTTTACCTGATAAAAAGGTATGGGATCTTTTCATTGGTTTTCATCACCTCTTGTCACTTTTCATATTTTGTGTTTACTTGAGCAGTGCCAGAATAGCTACAGTTGGTTGTCTACTTTATCCCAAATCTTTCTCTATACATGTATGTGTTTTTGACTTTGATTGTAGATTTTATGTATCCCTTTGATTTCTTTGAACAAAACCATCACAACAGGGTTAGAAATTTTTCTATGATACTAACTCAGAGTAGAATTTTAGGTCAAAGTTACCATAGCCACTGAAATTAAAATCAATGACTTTTAAAATATCTGAGTAATAAGTTATAATTGACGTGACTACATCTCTTCATTATTATTTTTTATTTTATTACAGAATAAGTGAATGCTTTCTTTGGATTAAAAAAAATGACAAAAATTCAAATTCATTCACATTGGCAGTCTAATAAATAAATTGCTGAGAATGCCATAATAATCAACAATATTTATCATACTGTTACATTAGAAAATGATTTTTATTTTGATCGTTAGAAATTCGAGTATGATACATGTTTGTTGCATAACAGTGGCATTGACATTTAAATTGTAAGACCAGCTGTTAACTCTTCCAGGATCACAGTGAAAAAAATTGAGTGGTACAAATTTGTTTAACTTTGAAACAAAGTAGACAGTAAATTCATTAAAACCACTTAAGTTTGAAATGTGAGATCCAATTTGAAAAGTAATTGATTTTCTTTATTCTAAATGCTTCTATTTCACAGGATACTTCTAGGATAAGCAAGTGGAAAGGCAGAGAGAATGTAGCACCGGGCCGTTACTTTGTGCAGTCGAGACAGAAGCACATCAGGTGTCATAACTGCAATGAGATGGGGCACCTTAAATCAGAATGTCCAAAGCCTCTTCATATTCCCGCATGTGTACTGTGTGGGACAAGAGGTATGTATTTTGTTTGTTTGTTGTTTTACCTGATTGCTATTAAGGGGATTGATTGCTTAACAATGTTAAATCTGAGATGCACGGCCCTACGTGTTATTAGTGTCTGTGATATGGTGTAACATTGAAGACCTAAAAAAATTGCGCTTCAAAATGATCAAGAAGTGCCTCAAAAAAGTAAAAAATCTTTGAGTGACCGGTTTTACCATACTCGTTTTCCCCAATAGACTGTAGTGTTATGAAAACCGTTTGGCAAACGCAAAATTTGGTTTTGATTTCCAATCATAAATATCTTGATAATCAGACAGGCGATCAGCTTGTAAAAGTCATGATGTTCCTGACTGACCTAAAGGTTTATAATTATCATTGCAGCATGAGCTAAATCCAGGATTTTATTTCAGAATCTGAGACAAAGTTACCGGATCCCTTTAAATTTAGTCACCGACTTGGAAACCCTGAACCGCTGAGGAGCATGTTCTAATGATTGTGTTTTCTTTGGATAGGTCACACTGACCGAAACTGCCCTGATCAGCTCTGCTTCAACTGCTCCATGCCCGGTCATCAGTCCAGAGCTTGCCCGGTCAAGCGACACATCCGCTATGCCAGGTGTACCCGATGCCAGATGCAGGGACATCTGCGGAAGGTATGACCAGGGACCCCTTTCACAAAGCCTTTTTTCAATGACAAATGACTAAAATCAGTGACAAATCTGCTGATAACCAATCAGAAGCAAAGATTTCAGTAACTCATAACAAAAACTGTCATTTGTCACTGATGAAAAGTTTTGTGAAACGCTTCCCAGAACCCTGTTTGATAAGAATTGCAATAGATGTGGGCCCTGTAACACAGAGCTCAGTAATTGGTTGTGCAATGGATTAATTAATCATAGGCCTTCAATCAATTGATTGGACATTATAGTCAATTGTAAAATTGCAATCAAACTAATCTTTGTGTTATGGTGCCCATGATTGATCAATGGCAAATTTGCAATCTGTTTGCGATTGATATCAATTTGGATTGATTTGACCTAATTGGTAACTACCATGGAAACCTTGATTTTGATTGGCTGTTGAGTCCTGTTACCATGGTAGTTGTCATACATGGCAAAGTTACCATCAATGGTAAGTTTAATGCAACGGGCCCTAAGATGTTAACCATCAAGTCTGATTAATACCTGCGTGTATCTGTAAAAACTTAATTACACTCATGCACTGACAAACTTCTTTGTTACATGTATGTATTAAGATTTAAAAACAACCCTAAAAATACGGTGTGTGTGTGTGTTTGGTCAATTTTTTCATTGAATAATTTGTGTTTAATTTTGTTTTCCATAACAGATGTGCCCAGACATTTGGAGACAGTATCATTTAACAGTAAGTTCTTAATTATTTTTAATTTGTGACATTAAAGCTCATGTACATTTTGGGTAGCAAAAAGGAATTGGGAAAGAAACATGTTATGAAATATATTCTTATGTTGTTCTCCTTGTACTATCAAAAGAATTATATGTTCAAAATCGTTTGGTATTCTATCCACAATGTCCTGTGAACTGTAGTTTAAATATCTGCAATGAATGCTAGATAATAGCTCTACAATCCCCTACGCTAGAATCCTTCCACCTAATATAGTTCGTGGCATATCGATCTTGACGCTTTGTTTGGAGACAGCGTGTGTGTAGAGTGTATCATATATACACAGTCCTCATAGGTGTTACACGTGCAGTGCAGGTTGCCGTTATTAGAATTTACCTTCCAGGATTGAATCTACACTATTTTCCACTTCTCATTTGTTTAGTATTTCACTTGAGGGGGAAAAAACTTCACAGCACCTTTGTATTGCTAGTATCTTTCTATTTATCATCTTACATGTAAATAGAATAAATGTTATGATTATTTTTGGAGAACATACCACTTTACATCAGTTTGAATGCCGGTTCAACGGGTTGAGCCATTTCAATGATAAATAATTAGAAATAAATTATATTGCTAATGTAACTGTTGGACAAAAAAAATAACATGTATATTTGGATATTGTTATTAAGAAACCTGTGTTTCAAAGAAATGTTAATTTTTTAAAATCAGCAATGACATGAGATTTCTAATCGTGGGGCTCACCATACTGGAAAAATTCAACAATTTTTAGCAAAGTAGTCATCACAGCTCCTCGACTTGTAAAAGCGAATTTTCTCTTCTTTCGTTGAACTTCCTTCTTTTCTCCATTTGTCCAAATTCTCTGTTCACATTTGCTGCATTTATTATCTTAATGTTTTTGGGAAAAAAGAGAAAAAAAATCTGTTATGCTATTTCTTTTCCACCCTTACATTAGAATGATTTTATTATGTCAATCTCGTATATGTAAATAACAGGTATTTCCCCTTCTACTCCCTGTCTAGACGGAGCATGGCCCCATAGTTAGACCCTCCAGCCAACACCATAGAACCAAGCAGAAAGACCTGTACTGTAGTAACTGCAGCAAGAAAGGCCACAGATATTTTGTAAGTATTGGATCTTAAAGGTACTATGTCCCATTTGCAGGCCAAAAAAATGAAAAAGTTAAATTCCAACTGCATTTGAAAGATAATACTAATTTAGAACTTCCCTAAAAAAGGTGGGGCTTGAAAACGTCTTCAAGTGGGAAAATAACGACTATTAGTTGTCAAATCGACTTTAGGGCTATAGAGCCCAAAAGTAATAGTCTTGATTTTCAGACAATTGTACCGAATGGTCATACGTTTTATGCTGCGCAAAGATTCAATCAGTTTAATCTTGGCCATCACAAGAAGTGGGTTATTGATGTAGACAAATGCTCATGTACCCTTTACAACTCCTTTCATGTATGTTATTACCAAAGAAGAAAAAAAACCAGTCAGTCACTAATAGTGTCTGACAGTGAAGTCTAGCAAGTAAACAGGTTTCCTTGCATAATTTGAATATGAGGACACTGCTAACGTTTAAATTTCACAGATAGGACATACATGACATATTCATAATTCCTGCAAAGTTCTGCAGCATTTGAGGTTGGTTGCAAAAGGGACATAGTACCTTTAAGAGAGAGACGGTATCCATTAATACATTTCTTTGCATGGATCACTTGTTGATGAAGAGCTTGTCTGGAAGTAACAAATAAAATGGATAAATTATATATCAACAGAAGCTTGTAAACCATAGATTACAATAATATCAATTATATGCTATTTTAGTGTCTGGCAGAGGAGCTACTCAAAATCTAAAGCTTTAAAAATTGAAAGTTGTCGACCCACAAACTAGCTATCTGCTTGCCTTGATGACATGATCTTCTGTTGAGTACGCAGATTCACAATTACCTTGCATTAATAAATCATGGCTCATTGCCTTAGCCATACAGGCAAGCAGAATGGGTCTACATGTCATCTTAACTGGAGATTGGAGGGGTGCAGAAAATGAGGTTTTAATTTGCTCTTGTGCAATAGTGAAAGGGAAATGTTTTTTTATACCTTTATATATGTAATCTACATTTAATCAGCTTTTCATTGATATAAAGTTGTATTTGCATAGGGGTAGGTCTTTAAAGGGGAAGCCAACCCTGATATTAATTTGGTTTTAATATACCAGCAGAAAAATGGCATTTTATAGGTTAGCAGTAAATGAGTGTGAAGAAAGTAAAGAATAGCATACAGCCTTGACCAGTTAGACTTTGGTTATGTGCAGGCCTTATTCTTTGTGAGCGTGAGCGTGTGCGTGTGTGTGTGTGTCTAATTGGGTGTTTACAGATGTGTATCAATCAGATATGATTATTTACGTCTGAGGACCGACCTTTTAACGTCACCATCCGAAAGACGTGACTCTGTTTCGATCCTGCATCGTTGGCCGAATCAGTTTGTAACTTCCATTGTTAGCTGGATTACAGGCGCATTGCATTGTCTAGTCTACTCCCAAGTCACTTTTATGTTTAATTTAGAGTGAATTTAGACTTGCAGTATCTATTTATGGAAATAATTTGAAGCTCATGTCATAGTACAGTATAGTATTGTGACATAGAACTCATAATACACAGAGCAAAATAGTTTTTGATGGTTGGTATACTTTAATGTTATTGTTATCAGTCAAACACAGAATGGCAAATTTATGACTTACCTTTCTAGCTCCTCTCCCATTTTCTCTTTTACAAAAAAAAGCAATTAGAAAAATATTTAGACAGTTCTATAAGGTGCATTTCCCCATCACTAAAACTCCAGGTGACCTTTAGCCTTTCTCACTATGGTATATTTTTGATGTGTCGTTGCAGGACTGCCGCTCCGGGAGGTTTGACGAGTTTGTTGTGTTTACGTACGACAAGGTGTGCCTGTATGACAGGAAGCACATCGGGAAGATGGTGTACCCAGCCGAGAACAAGAATGCAGAATACCTTAAACTCTGTAGAGAACGCGAAGGTAGGTCTACCTTTTAGAACAGAAGTTTGGGAAGCATTAAAGGCATTTTTTAACAATGTTAAATCTGAGATGCATGCTCTATGTGTTATCAGTGCCTGTGATATGGTGTAATATTGAAGCCCTAAAAAGATTGCGCTTCAAAATGATCAAGAAGTGCCTCAAAAAAGTAAAAAAAATCTTTGAGTGACCGGTTTTACCATACTCATTTTCCCCAATAAACTGTAGTGTTATGAAAACCTTTAGGAAAACGCAAAATTTGGTTTTGATTTCCAATCGTACATATATCTTGATACTCATACAGGCGATCGGCTTGTAAAAGTCATGGAGTTCCAGACTGACCTAAAGGTTTATAATTATCATTGCAGCATGAGCTAAATCCAGGATTTTGTTTCAGAATCTGAGACAAAGTTACCCAATCCCTTTATACAGAGTTCCAACGGTAATGGAAAAACCTGGAAAGTTATAGAAAAATATACTCTTCTGGAAACTCATGGAAGTTGATCAGGGAGGCGGAGGCTTTGAAAAACATGAATTATATATATCACTGTTTGGTATTTGTACACAGTATGGTGGATGCCCCCACCCATACAAACTGGTACTTATCTGGTTATGGAAAAAGGCAAAAATGGGTCATGGAAAGTCATGAAATTTGGTTCTCAAGTTTCTGTGGGAACCCTGATTTAGGTTGTAGCAGATTAGTGTGAATTGAAACCCATTGCCTACAGGAACTGAGCGTTTCCTACGTAAAATCTACAGGAATGCAAGAGTTCGGTAGTCAACAGGTTAGAAGTTTGGAACCTCGTCATTATGCATGGGCAGGGTATTAGTTAGAAAGTGTTTAAATTTTTTTTAACATCCCTTATTCCTCCGTTATTCCCTTATAATCATATTTAAATCTTTTTACCACTTAAAATGACAGCTGAGGCATCACATAAAATGTCCTTGGCCATGTAACACAAAAATCAATCTATTGTATCTCAATTCATGCTTCACTTAATTGTATCTTTCAATGAAGTATATCTTTGTGTGAAACAGAAAAGTTACTGTTGATTGTTTAGATATGATCGATTGGAGAAGATATGATTAATTTTAGGATGAACTTGTAATTTTATGAAATCTGTTAACATTATTATTATTATCTTTATTTTTGTAAGCATGTTTGAATAAAGTATGTTTCTGTACACTTGTGTCCCAGGTGGTGCACCAACGAGTAACACAAAGAAAAATTCAGCAAGTATCACCGAGAAGGATTCAACGACAGTCACACAAGAACCTACAATTAATATCACAAAGAGAGTTTCATCAGGCCTCGCAGGGATTTCAACAACAAGTATCAGAAAGGAAAATTCTCAGCCTCACTCAAATAAAAGAAAGGTACGTGCATGTACTTGTACAGTTGACCACTTCTGTAGCAAAAGCTATAACAAAAAACCTTGAAGCAAAGCGTAGCACAAGTTTGTTTGATTGATATTGCATCTTGTATGTTCCCCAAAGCATCAAACATATTTTATGGAATAAAATTTAGTAACATTAGCTCTTTGATATTGTTAAATCTGAAGTGTGTGTTGATTGGTATGTCATCTAAATTGATTTTAACATACAAAATTTATCTTTGAAAGATACCATACAAACTGGAAATAATTAGAATGCCCAATGTGGCAGAGACCATTAAAATGCTGGATACCGTATTTGCCGGAGTTAAGGCCGCAGCGCCGTAAAGGCCGTACCCCCGATTTTGACATTTCGTAGACAAAAACGAAAAATGTTGTGCTTTTTTGAAGACACCATGAGCAGCAAGCCAGATGGCCGCTAATTTCAGCGCCATAGCTTGGCTCGCGCGTGCTGCAAGGATTGAGGTTGATTTAGCTATGGCAAGAACTTAAATCTAGATCTACCAGCACTGTTTGGTTGGTAAGTTATGAAGTTTATATACGAGATTGATAAAACTTTGCCCTTCATGTCAACAATATAACACAACATTGTTGGTAAGACATGTGTTATTCTAGACAGTTATTCTAGAAATTTCCAGTACCAGTCATTGTAGTCCCATATGTACAAATTTGTGCCGCACCCCGACTTTTTAAAGTTTTATCTTCCAAAAATACTGCGGCCTTTACGCCGGCAAATACGGTAAGCACTATCTACATCTAATCTAGGATTTCAGTATAAACTGTGTTAAACTTGTTACTTATTTTGCTTTCATTTCTGATGTTACAATATCTTGTTCATTCTTTTCTTCTCCCAAAGCTCTCACAGGAAAGAGAAAAAGAGGAAGAACCCATTCAAGAAAAGGAGGTAGAGTTCAAGTTCAAGTTCATCGAGAAAGATCAGACTAGCAAGAAAAAGGTTCTGAACCCTGTCCATACGTTTGTCAGGTCAGGTCTATTCGGCGGGAGGAAGGGTAGATGTTGGGCAAAGCAAGATGAAGATGCCATATTCCCGAGTGAAAGGAACATGGAAGAGATTGTGTGGGCGCCTGAAGAAAAACCAACAAAGGCAGAGAAGAAGGCAGAGAAGAAGGCACAGAGGAAAGCACTGAATCGGCAAAAGAAACAAGAGGCAAAAAGCAAGAGATTGGAGAAGCCGGAGAATGCGGCACAGGATCTTGCCGATGCAAAGCTGATCAAGCATTCAGCAGTCGTAGCTATGAATGCGGTGAAGAGAGAAATCAGAGCAGCACTAATGAAAAAGAAAGAGAAAGCCGCACCTATTCCTAAGGAAGTGACTGCTTTAATGTCAAAGGAACAGAAGAATGCGATAAAGAAGAAAAGGAGATCTAAAGAAAAACAGGAGGTTCAGTTGGCGTTGAAAGAAAGAAAGGAAGCCGATGTAGGAGTAAGGAAGGTAGCTAGGGTGTTTAAAGAAGCGCAGAAGCTTTGCCGAGAGGCGAAGAAGAGGAAAAGAGAAGTAGACCAGGCCAGGAGAGCTCAGTATGTACCTCGAGACAGGCAATATCCTGTGCATCAAGAGCCGGGGTATGCCACGTCACAAAGAGGATTCAACCTAAATAACCGCTTGTTGGAAGGCACTCATCACACTCATCATCAGAATAATCGATGGACGCCGCACCAAGCTGATCCGTGGGACCAACCCTTTCCTCGAAGCAATGCCACATACGATTTAACTAATCGACTGTTCTGCAACTCTCTTGATAGACCATACAGTCCTACCTTTATGGAGCAACCACACAGTAACAGTCCTGGCTTTGTTGATGGCCCAAACAATCATAGCTTTACAGAAAGTCTGCACAGCGGCAGTCAGAGCTTTAGTGGTCCAAAGGGGAAGAGGAAACGGAACAGAAGGAAACGTAAGAACAAGCAAATGGGATCATGAAACAAGCAACACAAAGCTAAAACATTGAAGAATGTTGAGTGAAAATGGGAGGAATTTGGAATCTTCGTCATGAATCCTATATTTTATTTTTTACCGAAAGTGCCTTTTGAATCCTGTTTCTACCTTCTCCCGACATTTTATTCCTGCATTTTAATCTCAATATAATTTCCCTGCGTTGTATCTCGATGATAGAGGAGTTAATGATTTCAGGAGAAAAACAGCGGCAACAAACTATTTTCAAATGTTTCTGGTTATATTTTGATAGTAATAGCTAAAAAAAAAGGAGCAAAAATGAGAAAAGATAACAAAAAAGAATAGATACTTCTTTTTGTATCATGTTATGAAAGATTGTTACCTTCAAAGTCAATGAGAACAATCTTTGGTAGAATTATAAAGATAATTCAATGTTAATGTTCCATAAAGAAAACCAGTTTTAACTTTTCATAATGTTCAAAACTTTTTTTTCTTTCTATAATTCTAGAAAAGTGAAATGATTAGATGATAATTTGCAACTCAGTTCTTTAATAGATTAAGCCTCACGAATTTGACCATCACACAAACTGTTGCAGAAGCAACTCTAAACCCAACCCCATATATTGGAATGAGTATAAGTTAATGTCCGTGAAGCAAATGTCAGGACATTGGGTAGGTCAAACTTGTAAGAAGCAACAACCTGTTTTACCTGAACTGTTTAATTTCTCTTTTTAAGTTAATTAGTTCCATCAACAAGTAATGTTTGAACCAGAACAATATTGCATTTTTTTTGTAAAAACAATTTGAATGCCAATTCCAGTTTAATTTTCATCTTTTGCAGGAATTCAATTTTTTTTTTCTTTCTCCAGTGTGTTTACAACACCAACGTTTTCAACTTTTTAATTACATACATTTTGCTCAATGCTGGATGCATTTGATATGGATATTTTCTACTGATTATTTGTATTAAATTTTAATTTCAAGAATCATTAAAGGTCCAGCTCTCTATCAAACTAGGAGGTGTTATAAGTACAAATCATTATTTAATTTTTACCCCTTGGAATACTTTATTTCATTGTTATGTATTACAAGGACCCCTAGCGTTACATTGTAAAAGATTTGAGATATGAATGAGAAAAAAACTTATGTTAAGTTCACCCTTGTATGGTGAAATTCATACTCACAAGTTCTGAATAAAATTAATTATGCAGCATAAGAGTGTAGTATTCTCTTTGATATGCACTTTGATAAATTATTCTCAAGTTTTCAAGAGAGATGTACAGATAGAAGGGGATAGAGAGAGATGGAGAGAGAGAGAGAGAGAGAGAGAGAGAGAGAGAGAGAGAGAGAGAGAGAGATTTATAGAAAGATAGAGGGAGAGGGACAGAAAGAAAGATGGAGAGAGATATATATATTTATAGAAAGATAGAGAGAGGGACAGCAAGAAAGATGGAGAGAGAGAGAGAGAGAGATTTATAGAAAGAGAGAGAGGGACAGAAAGAAAGATGGAGAGAGCTTGAGAGAAATCTTTTATAGAAAGTTAGAGAGAGAGGGACAGAAAAAAAGATGGAGAGAGCTATAGCTAGAGAGAGAGAGAGAGAGAGAGAGAGAGATTTATAGAAATATAGAGAGAGAGGGACAGGAAGAAAGATGGAGAGAGCTAGAGAGGATACTATAACAACCCAACATTTTGCGGCATGAAGCTTTGTGAATTGATGATAGGTGGCTGTTATTTATCTAGGAACTAATTCAAATGTCAAATATATACATGTCTAATTATATTTTGCCGCATTTAAACTTCACAGCAGAAGTGTACTAGTGATTACGACTTTAATCAATTCATAACTTTCTCATTTTTTGTTCAATTTCATTCAAACTTTCACCAGTCTACTTCTCTGATTTCCTGCTCTCCTCTAAAGTAGTTTGCTATCAAGGTGGGTATTCCCTTTTAGAGAAGGTCGAGTCCTGAGAAAAGAGGTGAAACATAATTTGCGTTTTTTCTTCTTCTTCATCATTTTGCGGTTAGTGTGGAAGAGTATTCCCCCTGTCCCCAAGAGAGTATGGCTCTATTAATGACCTCGTATTAAAATAGATACAACTATATGATTGAAAAAGTAACAGTTAAAATTTGGGGACCACAATTGTTTATAAGACGGGACCAAGAACTCGACTTGATCTTTAATACTCTAAAGCAGGGCTCCCACTTAGCCGAGTTGGAACCTCCAGTTGTGGCGAGCTGGCGCGATCTTATGGCAAGCCGTTTTATTATTTGTTGATATTAATAAATCAATTCTTGTTATCAAGAAATAATTTTATGGTGCAAAGCAATGGTAATTATTAATATCAAGAATTCGATTTCGTGATTTCAGGAATTCGATTTCGTGATATCAAGAATTGAATTCGTGATATCAAGAAATATGTTTTAATGATAAAACTGCTTGCCATAAGATCGCGCCAGCTCGCCATAACTCAAGGCTCCAACTCGGCTAAGTGGGAGCCCTGCTTTAAACATTATTGTGGCGGAATAGGGGGGGGGGGGGTATAATGATAAAACGATTGAGGAATAGAAAGAGGAAGGTGGTATGGGAGGAAGAGGAGGGATATAATGTATTCGTGCAGTGAGAGAAAGGGTGCATATCACTTTGCCACCAACATCAAGTAAACATTCTCAACACATGAGTAAGCTTCCACAATATCTAGTCTTTACAAGCGCTAGATTCTCCTCTCTTTACAACTGGATATTGTAATAATTGTATCTTTTTTTTTCCTATGATAATTGTTATGTATATTTGCTTATTTATGATTCATTGTCAGAAAGTACTTTTTAGTGTTTTCTAAACGTTTTTCTTTGTTACTTAACTTTGTTCATATTTTGTATAAAATGCAGAAGAAAATAAATCAAACTAAGTCTAAGGGAATGAGAGAGTTCAGAAGTCAACAGAATAAAAGCTTTGGAATCAAGTTGTTATTCATGGATAGGGTAATATTAGTTAGAAAGGATTTGAAATCAGTTTTTTTTTGTGGGGGGGGGGGGGGGGGGGAGATAGCATCACTTATTCCTTGGTTATTCCCTCTTGATCATATTTAAGTCTTTTTACTGCTTAGAATGACACCAGAGTCATTACATTACATATCCTGTGCGATGGACCATTAAAATCAATTTACAACTGGTTTTAAAGCTCTATTGTATCTCAATTCATGCTGCACTTAATTGTATCAGAGAAAAATGATTGTAAGCTAATGTTGATTGTTTAGATACGATCGTTTGAAGAAGATATGAATAATTTTAGGACGAGCTTTTAACTATGTATTATTTTTGTTAACATTATTTTTATTACTATCTTTATCATTTTAAGCGAGTAAAAGTATGTTTCGGTCCACGTTTTTCTTAATGTGAACCTCATTTTGTGTCCCAGGTATTACACCAACAAGTATCAGAGATGAAGATTCAACAAAAATCAAAAAAGAAGCTACAACAATTATCAAAAAGGAGAATTCATCAGTTGTCACAGAGAAGGGTTCATCAACAGTCGCAGAAGAAGCTACAACATGTATAAAAAAGGAAAATTTATCAGGTGTCACAGAGAAGGGTTCCAAAACAGTTGCGAAAGAAGCTACAGCAAGTATCAGAAAGAAAAATTCTCAGCCTCACTCAAATAAAAGAAAGGTAAGGGCAGGAAATATTACCGTTATCCACTTCTGTAGCAAAAGCTATAACAAAAACCTCAAAGCAAAGCACATCATATTTTTGTTTTATTTATGTTGCATCCTGTATGTTCCTCAAGGGCATTGGTGGGTGCGTCTTGATTGTAATCCTGATGTTTTTCCATTCCCAGGATCACTGCTTGAACCACTATGCCAAGGTGCTTCATTTTGTTCTTGTCAGGTAGAAGTCAAAACATATTTTACCTAGTGAAATGCGTACTTGACTATGTGAGGGCCAAACAAAAAATGGTGTGTGATGGAGAGCTGTTTGTCTACTAATTAATCCTGGCTCTGTGGTACAGAAGTTGTGTCTAATTATTTCAGTATGAAGTAAATATCACATCCTTGGGTTTAGCCCCATTGTGAAGTTGTTGCTTGATCAAAGTATCAAGCATTTTTTATGGAATCAAATATAGTAACAATGCTATTTCATCTAAATTGGTTTTAATCAAAAAAATATATCTTTGAAAGATACCATACAAACTGGAAATAATCAGACTGCCCAATGTAGCAGCTAGAGAACATTACGATGCTGGATAAGCACTCTCTACATCTAATTGAGTATTTCAGTATAAACTGTGTTTAACTTTGTAACTTATTTTGCTTCATTTCTGATGTTACCATAAGCTGTTATCTTCTCTTTTCTTTTCTTCTTCCAAAGCTTTCACAGGAAAGAGTAAAAAAGGAAGAACCCATTAAAAAAAAAGGAGGAATTCATCAGCATTAAGAAAGAAGAGACTAGCAAGGAAAAGGTTCTGAACCCTGTCCATACGTTTGCCAGGGTACGTCTCTTCGGTGGGAGGAAGGGTAGATGTTGGGCAAAGCAGGATGAAGCAGCCATAATCACGGATGAAAGGAAAACGCAAGATATGGAGATGATGAGTGTGAAACAGGACCTCGCCAAAGCAAAGGGATTAAAGTATTCAGCACAATTAGCTATGAGAGCGGTGAAGAGAGAATTCAAAGCAGCAATTCTGAAAAATAAAGAGAAAGCAGCACCCATTCCTAAGGAAGTGACTGATTCAATGTCAAAGGAACAGAAGAAAGTGATGAAGAAAAAAACAAGAAAACAAAAAAGACAGGAAGTTCAATTTGCATTGAATGAAAAAATAAGGAATGTAGTTCGGGTGTTAAAAGAAGCACAGGAGCAGTGCCGAGAGGCGAAAAAGAGGGAAAAAGAGGCGAAGAAGAGGAAAAGAGAAGTGGACGGGAGGGCCAGAAGAGCTCAGTATGTACCTCAAGACAGGCAGCATCCTGTGCCTCAAGAGTCGGAGTATGCCATGTCCCAAAGAGGGTTCAACCTAAATAACCGCTTGTTGGAAGGCACTCATCATCAGGATAATCGATGGACGCCGCCCCAAGCTGACTCTAAGGAACAAGCCTTTCCTTGGAGCAATGTCACATACGATTTTACCCCTCGACTGTTCTGCAACTCTCTTAATAGACCATACAGCAACAATCCTACCATGGAGCTACGACACACGTACAGTTCTGCCTCCACTGATAGCCCAAACAATCCTAGCTTTCCCTCCTCTGCTGATAGAACGTACAGCAACAAGCCTACCTTTACGGAGCTACAACACACCTACAGTTCTCCCTTCACTGATGGCCCAAATAATCCTAGATTTCCTTCCTCTGCTGATAAACCATACAGCAACAATCCTACCTTAACATGGCTATTGGCTACAACACACCTACAGTTCTACCTTCACCGATTGCCCAAAGAATTCTAGCTTCCTTCCTCTGCCGATGGATCGTACAGCAACAATCCTACCTTTACGAGGCTACAACACATCTACAGTTCTCCCTTCACCGATGGCCAAAAGAATCCTAGCTTTCCTTCCTCTGCCGATAGATCGTACAGCAACAATCCTACCTTTACAGAGCTACAACACATCGACAGTTCTCCCTTCACCGATGGCCAAAAGAATCCTAGCTTTCCTTCCTCTGCCGATAGATCGTACAGCAACAATCCTACCTTTACGGGGCTACAACACATCTACAGTTCTCCCTTCACCGATGGCCAAAAGAGTCCTAGCTTTCCTTCCTCTGCCGATAGATCGTACAGCAACAATCCTACCTTTACGGGGCTACAACACATCTACAGTTCTCCCTTCACCGATGGCCAAAAGAATCCTAGCTCTCCTTCCTCTGCCGATAGATCGTACAGCAACAATCCTACCTTTAAGGAGCTACAACATACCTACAGTTCCCTTCACCGATGGCCCCAACAATTCTAGCTTTCCTCCCTCTGCCGATAGATCGTACAGCAACAATCCTACCTTTACGGAGCTACAACACCCCTACAGGTTCCCTTCACCGATGGCCCAAACAATCCTAGCTTTCCTTCCTCTGCCGATAGATCGTACAGCAACAATCCTACCTTTACAGAGCTGCAACACACTGACAGTTCCCTTCACCGATGGCCCCAACAATTATTCTAGCTTTCCTCCCTCTGTCGATAGACCGTACAACAACAATCCTACCTTTACGGGGCTACAACACCCCTACAGGTTCCCTTCACCGATGGCCCAAACAATCCTAGCTTTCCATCCTCTGCTGATAGACCGTACAACAATCCTACCTTTACGGAGCTACGACACACCTACAGTTCTCCCTTCACTGATGGCCCAAACAATCCTAGCTCTCCTTCCTCTGCCGATAGACCGTACAGCAAAAATCCTACCTTTACGGAGCTACGACACACCTACAGTTCCCTTCACCGATGGCCCAAACAATTCTAGCTTTACAGTCTGGACTGCGGCAGTCAAAGCTTTACATTAACAAGCAGGTCAAGTGGGATCATGAAACACGCAACACAAAGCTAAAACATTGGAGAATGTCAAGTAAAAATTGGAGGAATTTGGAATCTCCCTTATGAATCCGTTATTTTAATTTTGATGGAGGTCATTTACAGCTGCCAGAAGTGCCTTTTTAATCCCGTCTTCTGATATAATTTCCCACCGTCATATATAGTGATTTAATTGAATTAATGGTTTCAGGAGGAAAAAGTATCACTATATGATTGAAAAAGTAACAGTTAAAATTTGTGGAACACAACTGTCATGCCACATATTTGAAGTCCTATATATATATATATATGCATTTCTGTATAGAGTGCATGTGCCACCTTGGAAGACTCACCCAATTTCTTTTTTCGATTCCAATACCTCGCAGGATATACCAATACTTATGTAATACATGATCAACTTTTCCGATCACTTCCACTCTGTTTCTTTCTTAATGCAATCGTGTGACCAGGACGCTGTTGGATCAATCGAACTAGTGTTCATAAGACGGGGCCCAGAACTTAATCTATAAAACTCTTATTCACACACGGGCCAGTATAACCACCGCGACATACATCAAACACTTCCAACACAAATAAAGAACATTAAAGTCATTTCTTCAAGTTTTCTTTTTAGAGTTTTATTTGCAAATCTCTTTCGGCTTTCTTTGAAGTACAAAATGGACAGAATACAAAAAAGTGTTGCAAAATATACACAAAACATATCACTATGCTCTTTATCTCTCGTGCGTGAGCAAAATTATACAGAAGTAGTATTGTACAGCCTGAATATAGTCAGGAAATCACATTTTCATTACAAAAATTGCATAAAGATTTTGCATTTAAAAAAAGGCAGCTAGATTTACAGACAGTTATAAAAATCACTGTGTGCAAAACAATATACCTGTACAGTTGTACTCGAAATCGAATAATAAATAATGAGAAGAATACAAGCATTGATTATTGCAGATGAAACGTTTTAAAAAATGTAGCTTTTGAAAAAGAAGAATTGTGACCTCTTTGGCAGCTAGTTTGCAGATGATGCACATTTTTTACTCTGAGAATTCAGAGTACATACTTATTTTGATCTTGATATTGGAAAAGAAGAAGGCAATTTGGTATTCATCAGATATACATTGTATGTCGTTGCCAGTGGTTGCAAGATTTGCTACAAGGCAGTTTGAAAGACAGGAACGCATTTTTTCTTCTTCAAAGCACACAAATAAAACTACAACTTGATCTTAAAAACATCTCTTTTGATGAATTTCCACATGAATTTGGTTTCACCTTACATCAAGTTATCAATAAAATTTGTATGTCGACCACATTCATAACCGCAAATGTATGAATTCAAATTTCCAACTGTTTATATATTAGCAGTCACAGTTTAGGAATGAAGAGTGAACAGAGATAAATGAGAGAGAGATAGAAAGGAGGGGGGCAGAGAGAGAAAGAGAGACCAAAATAAAAAAGGACAGAGATGAAAGTAAAACTTTTCACTATGTTACTTAAAATGTTCAGACATTACACAAATCATATTAAAAAAACCAACTTCAATATTATTAAAGAAATGTTGATGGTATACTTTAATATGTCTTTGCAGATAAAAAATTGTGTATTTCACAGAAATGCATCAAAAAAATACATGTACAAATGTATTTAGAATTACATTGTTGCCTGCCCTGCATTCCCATAAATATTAATATTTTAATCAAATAAAAGGAGTAATTAAAATGGTTTCATTTATATCTTGGAGCTACAAGTCACATACAAGTAGTAACGAAAAATAAGAGCACAATTTATCATAATGCATATTTTCATCTGAATTTCAAACTGGTATTGATTTTCTCATGACTAGATTCTACATGATTTTCATTAGTATCAGAAATATAACCACTCCATTTATTTCACGATTACTTGAATATAAAAATAGAATGCTTCAATTACACCACTAGGGTACCTCCCTGATTACACGTAGCAATAAAAACTTTAAAAATCACTCTATAATCACTTATGTATCAAAATATTGTCTGCATAGAAAGTTAATACTTATGATCCTATGAATATAAACAGGACCCTAGTGATTTTTTGTGTGTGCACGTACCTGACAAATAGGGGGTCTTAAAACGTTTTTTTATAAAATCAAGGATACATGCAAGATAATGGTATAATTTTTGTTATAAGTCATGGAATTATGAAGATGTAAAAGGATCACCATATGTGAAATGTCCTCCTGCTTACACTGATCAAGGGTAATGATGCTGTACTTGGGATAACATTACAAGATGTGAACTGCTCCGGTTAAGTATAATAACAAAAATAGTACTTCAAATAATTTAATCCTTTTGTACATGAAACTAGCTCAAATGTTAAAACTAAATATCTAGTTAATAATATTCCAAGCCTTGATGCATAATTTAAAGAATATCCATTTTCTCTCTCAATATTCTTCATTTAATTAAAAAAAAAATAGACTGGTAGCTTGAATTGCCAGAAGGAAGTTTCTCCTTAGTTTCAATAATTGGAACAATATATTTTAGTTCCCTTTTAAAGATACAAAACTGTCCAATCAAAAAGAGAATGAAACTTCCACTGAAAATGGATTCACATTAAAATAAAAAAACACATACTCTCACATTGGACTTGCGTGCTAATATTATTAATAATGTAACTTAAACTGAATACAGACATTTGGCAAGCTAGTAGTCATGTTTATGTACAAACAGATAGATAAATACTTAAATTGAGGGACATCAAAACCCCACAATGATTCAAGGAATATCTCTCACTTTGAACATTAAAAAATTGATCTTTTGCATTACAACACAATATTGGGAAATTTGGAAAGCATACTACATGTAACTCATAATGGTTCACAGATGCCTTTAATGGATGTTTATATATATATATTGTGGACTTAAATCATCAAATGATACGTAAAGAGATCTTTCATTATCTGGTTAATCTTAACAGTTGATACATTTTAAAACTGGTGTCTCTTCAAGTTTTAAAAATAACTATGTATGACTGTAATTCTAGGCAGGATTTCAGATAGAAAGGTTGTGAGAATACAAATGCTAGTTTTCAATACAACATAAATATTAATGGCAGTGTAATAGCTAGGCAATTAAAGGTGCTTTTTCAGAACAGATTTTTCTACGGTGAATGAAATACTTGGACTTCGAGGTTCGTCAGAGAATTCAGAATGTAAGGAATAAAGGTATACAATTTATATTCTTTTCTTGCTAAAGGTGCCATTAGAAAAAAGGAAAAAAAATAACATCTGGCGAAATATACCCCTCCCCCAGTGAAGAGTTATAGCTTCATGGAATGGAAACCTCTGTCACAACTTTTCGTTTCTGAAAGAGAGAAAGAAAGATGGAGAGAAAAAAGAAAGGAAGTACATGTAAATGGAGGAAGAAAGAAAGAAAATAGAAAGAAAAAAGAAAAAGAACACTTATTGAAACAAATCTTCAAGCTAAAATGTGACCAATCATAACATGACAAATCACTGTATATGAATTACAGCTGAGAGATAGACAACATGCAGCTGAAAATCTGTGTCAACATTACCAATTCTGTGGTACCCTTGCAAAGTAACAGACGTTTCCATGGATACATGCAAAGCTTCTACATGGAATATTCATAGGTATCATTAATTGTCAGCTGAAGATCAAGGAAAGGAAGCTCCTGATATTATTTTCTGCAGCAGATATAATACTGTCAACCTAAATTTGTACCAAATATTCTAAATTGATGCTTGGGACCAACATACAGCGACTCTTTGGTGATGTTTGAAATCCCGGAAGAATAGATGGATGTCAAACAAAAGTTCACTGAATAAGATTTCTCATTTGGTACATGTATACACTTATGGTGTCTTCCATACAAATGCAGAGCTGTGTCTTGACCTACTCTTTTGCTTGCTTTGCAATTTCGGCCGATCCTGTGAATAATTAGAGTGCCCGAGTATGTGTGTGATCCTCGGACAATACAGAAGCATATGCAATACGCTCTAATTGACGTGAGCAGAGGTCATTGCTGATGATCGAGGGCAGCAGATGGAACATCCTAGAACCTTTTCCAATTAAACCAGACAGTAACCAGCTCTGCAGCTGAGAGTGAAATCATGTGTTGACCATCCTTAATCAGTCCTATTCTATGGTATGCTAACGAGATCTTTAAAGTCACTGAGCAGGAATAGACTTTTGACTACATTTCGCAGCATCGATCTAAGTGCTGGAATACACTACTCCTGACTCAATGAATGCATTAAGACAAGCTTTTTCGTCACGCAAGATCCATAGTCATACAGCCTATGTATGACAAATCTCTAGGGGATTACTTTGAGCGCAACTTGCATGGTGTTACTTCAACAATCCCTCTAGGGAAAGTCAGGCGGGATCATGTTGCAACGGCTTTATCAGGATGTCCTGAGATGATACCTCCTAGGTTTCCTTCAGATGATGCTTCCAGATGATGCCTTCAGAAGATGTATTCATATGACGTCTTAAGACAACGTCTTTGGATGATGTCTTCAGACAACCTTTTCGGAGGATACCTTCAGTGATGTTTTCAGACAATATCCTCACTTCCAGATGATGCCTTCACAAGATGTATTCATATGACGTCTTCAGACAACGTCTTTGGATGATGTCTTCAGACAACATCTTTGTATGATGTCTTCAGACAACGTCTTTGGATGATGTCTTCAGACAACGTCTTCGGAGGATAACTTCAGACAATTCCTTCAGTGATGTCTTCAGACAATATCCTCACGGAAGACTGTGCATCTGGTCTGGCTCATCATGGATACTCTCCTCACTGAAAGCAGGTGTCAGAGGGGGGCTCCTTGAAGGACTGTTCACCGAGCTTGGAGGTGACAGAGAAAGGGGACCAGCAAACTTGTCCAGCTCGTCTGTAAGAAAAGATCAAAGAACCATGTTATGGAACTTATGGAATGCAAGGTAGCTATAAACGTTATAAAATACATAAGTTATATAGTATAACTTTCATTTTGACATTAGTCATAGTAAAAGAAAACCGCAGTTTTATAGTAAGGTTTTAGTTTTAGCGATCCTTTTCTTCTTCATTTTGTGGTAGTTCTTTTTTAATAAATATTCATTTATTCAATTTGAAAACTACACTTTAATTATCATTTGTTTATCTAAATTTATCCTTTGAAATCCAAAGATAAGATATATATCTTTACTTTAGTTTTATTAAATCTACTGACTTTTAAAAACCGAATATTCTTTCTACTGACTGAATTTCCCCACCATGCAAATCTTTCATACAAAATACATGTAGAATTAGGAGTTTTGGTGTTGCCTTACCTTTGAGATGTTGGAAGTCATCAGGATAGAAGGCTGTGGTGTTGGATGGCGAGGGAGGAACCTCTTGGCACTCATCCTTGAAGTCCTCAAGCCTGGTGTTCAGTAGACTCATGGACCTGATATCCAGAGACCCATATTTATCGCTCCTTCTCCTCCTCGGCATTGGTGCACTGTTCAGCGAGATGTCCGATGTCCTGTGGCTGTTGCCAGGATCAGAGCTCAATGACCTCCTCTGTCGGGAACCCCTCAGCAGGCTAGGTCGCCGTCCTGCAAGGAAGCTCGGAGACCGCACCGCGCGGCGCCCAAACCCACCAATGGTGGCCGACCGCTTCAATGTTTGTATCCTCATGTCTCCCGCATTGTGGATAGGACTCTGGGGGATGAACTCCATGATGGGGCTGCAGGGTTCTGAGAAGGTTGGCGTTCCTGGAGACTGCATCCTTGGAGAAGGCATCTGCCAGGATCTTTGCGTTAGTGGCAAGGTTTGGGAGTGAGCCGTTTCCTCGTCCGGTACACTCTTGCTTCTTGTGTGCATGGATTTGAGCTTGTTGTCGTAGGCAGGCTTCATGATGAGGTAACCTTCATCTTTCTCGTCTGGCAACTCCACCCATTCAGTGTCGCCCTCTTCGGTTGTGAAAGAAGGAACAGTATTGCATCGCTTTCTGGGAGGAAGGAAAGGTGGGCACCCAGTCGGACTGATCGGTGATGGTGGACCTCTAGGGAGTGGTCTACCACGAAGATGATCTAAAAAATATAAAAAATGGCAAGAGTTGTAATTATTAGATGAAATTGCAGTTCAAAAAATTGAAAAATAGCCAAATTTGCACATAATAAGAACATCATCAGTTTTTAGATTAAGGAAAGGAGTTGTTACCCTCTGTCTGTATAATAGATTGTTAACATAGATGTAGTCTATGAGCCAAATAGTAAACATTGAACGGATTTGTACCAATAACTTGTGGATTATAAGACATAATAAGAACATCATCATTGTTTAAATAAAGAAAAGGAGTTATTGCCCTCTGTTTGTAGAATAGATGGTATGTAGTCTATGAGCAAAACAGGGCAATTCCACGGTAACGGAAGGACACTCAGACAAGATTTTTGAACTTCAGGTTCATACTAAAAGAAATGTTTTATTAGTATGTATTAAACTATGGGGAACAAAATGTGTTTCAGTCAAGTGGAAAGCTTCATCAACTTCACAAAGTTTGGATAAACACTAATTAACTGGAAAAACCATGTCCATTTTTATGTCCTTCCGTTACCGAGATAATTAATATGCACATTCTTAAACTACTTAACTATAATGACAATTTTTTGGGGGAGAATTAAAGGCACTTATATAGGTATTATATCTGTACTGTTTCACATCTTATACTAATAAAACAGTTCTTTTAGTATGAACCTGAAGTTCAAAAATCTTGTCTGAGTGTCCTTCCGTTACCGTGGAATTGCCCAACAGTAAACATTCAACTGATTTGTACCAATAATTTGTGGATCATTTTACTTGTATTTAGTAATAGGACCATAAACTTCCATGTATATGCTAAACACATGTAAATCATGAACTGATTAATCTCACAATTTGGTAGAACATACAGGCGTATACGATATAGTAGATAAGTACATGTAAATGATCAACTGCTGCTTCGAATACATTTCTGTAAGGCAAGTCGTCTGGGAAATAATCTTATCTTTGGCAGACAAGTTAATGAGGTGTAAAAACAAAATTTGTTTAGTGCAATATTTCAGGACATCTATAAATTGGTATAAAAGGGTCGCGATGATCAAAGAGAGATTTTGTTTTCTTCTTTGTCACAAAGTTATTCAGCCATTAAACATTTTGCATGGTGATAGAATAGGGTAACAATAGCGTACCCTAGTCACCAACAGGAAAATTGATTGGTGTGTGGAATCAATTTTTTTGTTCATTAAGATGAATCTCCCCTCTGCCATATAAGTAACCATTTTTCTTCGACTGAATGAGCAAATAGTGATGCTTTCAAAAATTATTTTGTAATACCAAAAGATATTCTTGATTTTAGCTCCCTGGTCACCCTAACTTCTAAACAAATTCTCGTTTCCCTTGAGCAGTCTTTATATCCAGATTTCATTGTACTAGGGCAACCTGTCTATAAAGACCACCTGCTTATAAAGACATTGATTCTTGTTTCCCTTGAGTAGTATTTAGATAGAGATTTCACTGTACCTGGTTTTGGTGGGATAGGTGGCAGGTTGTCTTGCAAAGGTGATGAAGTTCTTGATAGTCCAGCAATCTTCAGTCTCTCACTGCTGAAGTTTTCAGGGTGATTGGACAGTAGCGTTTCGATGGATGGCAGTCGCAGGTTGGCCGACTTGAGCGGCACGGGAGGAGGCTTCAGTAGGAAGGTGTCGCGATCGAAGCTGTTGTGTCGCGAGCTTGCTGCACTGGAGTAATGAGAACTGTCATAGTCCGATCCACTGGCTATGTAAGATGAAGTCTCACTGTCCTGGGAGTTCCTTTTTAACCTTGCTATTGGACCTACGGGTTTCACTAGAGTGGCGTGGTCAAACGGAATAGGAACAAGAATGTTTGTATCTTCTGGAAGTGATCCAAAGGGGTCCCCGGTGAAATCTAAACTTGGATACAATCCTACATGGATGCTAGTCTCCTTCAGAGAAGTGAAGCTGCTGTGTGTTCGTTTATGGACAGGAGGAGGGGGTGGAGGGGAAGAAGGTGGCGAATAATTAAAGCTTTCCAAGGTTTCAGGTTTTGGCAAGGTAAGAAGCACTTGCGTGCTCCTTTTGCTTCTACAAGCGGGAAGTGTATTGGAGAGTGTCCTTTTCGGACTTGGCAAGTTGACATACTCTCTTTCATCCGGAGTCGCTGCATGGGGCAGTTTGAATCTGCCCGTGTTGCAAAGATCCTCGATACATCTCTGGCTTCCACCCGTACCTCCTCCTCCTCGATGGCTTCTACTGTGACTCGTCGAATGAGTCTCTTTGTTGCCTTCGAGGTGACTTCGATGTTGACAGGGCCTCCCACTGTCCACGTCCTCATGAATCGATGATCGATAATGATCAAAGGAAGCCATCACTTCATATTCCTGCTCCCTGATGGGAGTGTTCTTTTGCGGACAAAGCAACATTTCATGCTCAAACGCAGTCTCCTCTCCCGACAGATTACTTCTCGAGTTTCCTTCTGTCCTACTTTGAGAGCTTCCCTCCACACTTCTATCCACACTTGTCCACGACTGGCTCTCTCGCATTCCCATATCTGACAATTCAATTACTTCTCTGGACATTCTCAAATCTGAATGAAACTGCATATTTCTATTCAGGTCTGCTCCAGACATAAGAGCATCTCCTTCATGCGGTTCTTCATTTTCTTTACTCTCCATCGTTCTTTCCAAAATTCTTTCCATCGTTCTTTCATGCTCCCCCCTTTGTTCTGAAGCATATCTAATGTCTTTGGCATTTGCATTGAGTAACCTTTGCCTCTCGGCAGCGAGCGTGCCTTGCTCTTCATCACGATTTGCTGAAAATTAAAGAAAAGGAAATAAACATGAAAACAGATTAATATCATTGTCAAAACATGTCCCCATACACAATAAAACAAGAGTATATGAAACTTAGGATGAAAGGAAAACACAAGCTTGCACCTTTTCAGAACTTTGTTCACAGGTATTTCCTGTTTTGTGAAAATAGGTTAATAGTGTCAGATAGTTCTTCAGGCGGGAAGGAGCCCAGGTGCCCTGAGGCAACGTTCAACAGAGAACCCTAAAAAATATCTGAGCAATCAACAAATTGGAAAACTATCCCTCATAAAGTGGCAGTTTATGACAAAGACTCAGGATTAACCCTTTTCACGTCGCTGTGTTTTGGGGCAGTCATCACAAATAATCTTCAGTAAATTTTGACTTCGAGTGATTGCATTGATAAAATGGGGGAAAAATATCTTCCATGGTTATCAATCTTATGATAGAGGTAGTCGTTTTGGTTTCCGGAAGCAAAAAGGTAGACCTTCTTTGCCGCCAAACATGCTGTTCAATGTGAAGATTTTTTTTTTTGATTTTTTTTTTGGGGGGGGCGGAGTTTGCCACTAATGGCATGCAAAGGATGAATGTACAACTTGTTTGGAACACACAATGTCTCCATTTTGTGTTCACATGAACTAAGCACCAAAGAATTGAGGAAAGAATTTGTCAACACTTTAGGCAGAAAAGAAAATCTGATCTAGCATTGAAAATACTTGCTGGAATCCTTTAGATGAAAAACAGGAAAAAGGATTTGTGATTGCAAACTATTGTCAAGAAAAGTGATAAAGTGAAAGAGGCAAATTGAAGGTAGGATATAATGTTGATCTGAACTGCTCTCCTCCCCACGTATAAGTACACAGAACAAAATAAGACATTTTTGCTGTACCTGGATTTGGTTCGGAATGAGTGGACCATCGACTTGGCAAGTGTTTGAGCGTGGCAGCATCGAAATGATTCTTGATGATTTCCGGATCATCGACAAGAAGAAGATGGTTGCTGCTCTTTGCAGAGTGGAGGACTAGCACGAGGAAAGAAAGGACAAGAATGGATGATTGTAAAGATGTTCAAATTTCATAGGATTAACAAATTGTTTCATAATCTAAGCAAAAGAACATGACGTTGACAATTTGCCGAAGGAATGTGTGTGTTTCTTATGATTCTCTTAAAGACACAGTCATGGTGAACTCCCTAAACTGAAATTTCACACTTCAATTAACATGGATTTCAGTAAACAACATTTCATAAACAAGGATTCCTATAAATAACACTTCACCATTGAAATAGGGATCATAAAACTCATGTAGTTTACACAGATTTACACAATACTATTGACCTCCAGGGGAAAAAACACATAATTGTTTCCAAGAATCATTTTAAGTAAGCATAGTCAATGCTAAACCAATGACAAAATAATTAAGTGAAATATCTTTTTGCAATCAAGGTATACTAGCTTATATGAAGTATTAAACCTTGATGATCTATATCCATTCAATTCTAAGTGGTAGATACGCCAGTTAGTTCATGCCTACAAGATCCTTTATCCTACCAATTATTCTTACAACTATAGACTTCCCCAAGTAGATCTAGAAATGAGCAATGCTGGATGTATTAAAGTAAAAAGTCTACATCTCTCACCTTTGACTGAGAAGGCGAATCCCCCTTCAAAGCTTCCATAGCGGATGACATGCTTTAGATTCCAGGCACAAATAAGTCTGGTTGGAGTTTCTGGCGTGATGGCAAAGTGGTTATTGTAGAAGTAGAAAGCCGCTCGACCCGAGGGCAGCTTACCCTTGCTGGGAATCGATACCCTGATCTTGAATTCAACAGCTGCACAGAAATAATTAATGATAAATAATTTTATAATTATATATATATATATAGCTGACAGTAGATGGTAAATAGATGATCGTAAATAGTTACTTTAGAAAAAGGGAAGACTGCTTGCATGCAGTGGTGTTTTTTTTTAATTTCAAGAATGAAATAGAAGTTAAAGACAATATCCTGGGATAGTACAACTAGGGGCTGCTGAAATGGATTAGCATTTCGAGACTCGAGGTTCAAATATATAATACTCCCAAAATCCTACTTTTTCTGTTTGAAATACATATAAATATCCTAAAACTGATAGATTAAAGTAGAAGGACCACCATTCAGGTAATTTCAAACTAATCCAAAATTCTAATAAATATGAGAAGAATGAAGAGAAGGATAATGACATCTTGTTTACATCGAGTTAAGGTAACGTAGATAATGTGAGTATGGAGATGAGCAAAAGAAAAGTGAGAGAGGAGGGGGAGACGAGGGCAAAGGAGAAAGTTGTAATGTGATTACGAAGATGATTGACAGAAGAAAGAGATGTAGAGAGAAAAGGGAGAAGGGGAGGGAAGGAGAGACATAAGAGAAAGAAAGAGAGAGAGAGAAATTAACACTGGGAAGAGGTGAAAGAAACAGAAAGTGATGATTAATGAGAAGTGGAGCAATGGAGGAACATACAAGGAGGAACACAAAGGTAGTAAACAAGGTATGATACCAAGAAAGAGAGACAAAGCAAGGTGAGACAGCAAACAAACCATGAAAAAGAATTTAAAGCCTGTCTGCACTAGTTTGGCCAGGGGTATGAGACCTCCCTGCAAGGTCACTGACAGGTGGTTATCTCATCAAATCAGCTATCAATTAACATAAGAAAAAGAGGATCATGGGGGACCAAAAGGCACTGATTAGGAATTGTTTGCTATATAGAGGGGGCAAGTAGCTATAAGTAGTGTACGGTAGTGGGTCTTTTAGCAATCCTCACCTGAAGGTAATGTATTCTTTATCTTGTGGTACCATTCCAACAACCTCTCATGAGTTTCAAACGACAGCAAGATGACGGCTTGGGAAAGAACGATCGTCAGGACATGGATGTTCTTGGGGTATCTGTAGCAGTATTCCAGACCATTGTAGTTGGCAGCTGAGACGCAAACCTGCTCACGACCCAGCTCCTTGTTGTTCAACAGGGCATTCTGGTCCTTGTAGAACTTCAGAATGACTTCGGCTGTTCATGAAATGATACAAGGAATAGAAGAAATAGAGATTAACAAGGCATTCTAGTCTTTGTAAACTTCAGAGTGACTTCGGTTGTTGACAAAAATTCAAGCAATAAGAAATAGAGATGCTCTTTCATTAACAGGGCATTCTGGTCCTGGTAAAATTTCTTCATGACAAAGATACACGAAATAGAGAGGTACTTTTATTAAGTTGGTTCTATATAATGTGTCAATTTATATTTCTTCAATATGCCCAACAGTTGGTTTCTTTACCCGTTCTTAAGCACACTCAGACCAGGATTCTTAGTTGATAATTTTCAACGCATTTTACAACATCTACATAAATAAAATAATATTTTGATAACCACACTCTCTGCACCTTTGATTCTTGTACCTTTACAGAACTCTTTTAAATATCACTGATAATGACATGACATGTATATTCCTTTATTAAGAGATGTACAGTGCACAACCTGCAGTAATTCAAATCTTATTTTGGATACAGTAAATGGTTTGTTCATTTGTGAAGTATTGTTATAATAGTTGAAACTTAAAAAGTTATAATATTGGAAAGCTATTTGATGAGAAACCATGCTAAGTTGATACTAGTGATAGTTTGACTTGTAACAAACATTATGGTATATAATTTATTCATTAAAAAGATATATCAATGAAAATGTGATAATCATCCCAAATTTCAATGTGAAATCTCACCCAATATTCATCAAAATCTCAATAATTAATTCTCAGTCTTTTCAGAATAACACTTTACAGTGCCTTGAAACTGCTTACCCCCCAATACTGCTCAATCATAAATTGAAATAAAGAATTTGACATGTTGTGCAGTTCTTGTTTTCTTTTTCTCTTTAGAAAATGAAGTTGCCTTCAGGGGAAAATCCTCTTAATCACATTTTAAAAGATTGTAATTATTATTCCCAAGATGTAAACACATTCTTGATGACTGTTTGCCAAAAATTCTAAAAATGTCATCAAAAGGTTAACACGGAGAGGCTGCCAGACATTCAATGCCTCCAAGCGACCTTCTTGCCCTAAATTTAGCTGTATGCCCTACCCTTGAAGGGTATCAACAAATTAGTTCACTTGTCTCTTTTAAATGCATCTTTGCTAAACAAACAAACAATGCCAGCGGCCTGTTCATGTTAGTTCCAATGATGGGAAAGTTTTGACATTGAAGTACTTCACACATTTCAGCTATTTTCATGTTTGTCAAGAGTAAACAAGTATTTTTTTCCCCCTTCCACGCTTTCATTCAAATTGTGATAGTTACGACTCCAAAGCATTAGTCGAATGCAGCCAAGCAAGAAAAGGAGGCCAATTCACAAATTTATGAAGTTATCTTTAAACAATGATATCCGGATTACCCAGAAGGTAAATAAGAGGGCAACCATGACATCATTGCGGGAATTAGGGAAAAAAGAAATTTAGGAATGAACATGCGGTATTTCATGACAAAAATAGGAAAAACAAACCTTGCATTAAATATCAATTAATTGTTTAAACTGATTGGAAAAACATATTTTACCTTATCAACAATTTTCATTGCTCTTTTTGTTGTTGTCACAATTAAATATTTTGTTCAGAAGGAAAATGCCAACACTGTAAATTCTTAATCAAACAATTATTAAAACACCAACAGCACATGGTATTAAATAGCAGATAACATGTCATAATTGTCATTCATATTCCCAAAAGACAAAACAATATAAGATATTCATTAAATAAATTGATGGGACTAAAAAATGAGAGAGACAATGTGATAGTACATCAGAAACATTGTGTCCAAAACGTTTTAATGTTTAATAAACAATGCATTGATTTGGATTATGATTACATATCTTTCATTAACCTATTTCCAAAAGCATGAAAGGGCATTCAACTTCATTTACAATTTAAAAACATTCAAAATTTATTTAAACTGCCATATATTTCTGAAGTTCATAAGTTCATATATGCAGTGTATAAGAATACATCTCTCTGGCTCTTGTAACTTTATTCCTTTTAATCTTCCACAAAAGAAAAAAATATCAAGAGCAAAATCTGTTACCATCCTGTCACACTGATTTTGGTCTCTTCAGCAGCTTGCATAAATATCCCAAGATCAAAGTTGTAAACCAAATACCTGATAACTGCACCGAGCAAACAAGCCGCCTTCCTATTTCGTTTCTTAAGTTACATTGTTTACAAAACCTGATATCTTTCGAGGAGAAAGAGAAAGAGAAAGAGAAAGACGTGAGGAGAAGACTGTGCCTAGCTGGTACACACACTGTCAACCTTCTGTATACTTCAGAATATATACTATGGGAATGGGAGAGAGCTAATTTATGTATTTTTCGTCTGGTTTAGGGGGTATGGCTGGTTTACTTTAACAGTTTTCCAAATTCATTGTGTACTGTGTACATGTGTAATGCACAGGTTTTTTCCAGAGTATTTGCCGTTTCACTATTTTTGGAATGGAAATTTTTAAAAAAAGGAACAAAGAAAAGAGATATTTATAGAGGGAGATTGACAAATAGATATAGATATAGATAGAGAGAGAAAGGGAAGGGAGGGATGGATGGATGGAAGAGAGTCGTCGACATTTAAACAAATGGAAGCCACATCTCTCTTTTATATTTTGGACATTAGTACTACATGTATATGCATGTGAAAGGGTAGGCTAATACTTTCATAACCATCCTTCCAATTTGTATGAAGTCTATGAATCTCACCAATCGAAACATGTTTAAAGATGAAGTTGAGTTCTGGTAATGCGATTGCATCGTGAAAGAAACGGTGTGGAACCGACCAGAAAATGTTGATCATCTAGCATATAAGAATTTGTGTGTATTGCAAGGTTCTGGAATCATCAAAATGATAAGAAATTTGGCCAAGACTTGGTAAAGTTACAAACACTGTACACAGAAAGATGTATATGGGACTACACGAACACGTGGCGTAAAAAGTCGGCCCCCGATTTTTACGATGTTACATGCATATTTAGAATATGAAGGCATTTGAAGAGCCATGCTTTTCAGGGAACATGTCTTATCTGATGTTCTTCCACACTTGCATAATAAGAATGAGTAACGCTCACAAATTATTTTTCACCTCTCCCCAGAACTCAACCTTCTCTTTAAGTATACATGCACTATTATTTTTCAAAACCATCCCTATTAATTACCAGCTGGCATCGAAACTGTGAAGCCAAGAAAAGCGGCCTTTAAGAGCAAGTGGTCTTATGTACAGGTTCCTTTAGTACCGGTACTTGTTTTAATGAGAAGCACTTTTCCAAGGAGACAAAAATGTGGTCTATACAAAGCAGGTTTGATTGCAAACAATCTGCAGTATAATAGCTTTCCATGACTATTTCTCTTTAATACAATAAAACCTCTCTATAAAGACCTCCCAAGGGCGACAATAAAAGTGGTCTTTATAGACAGGTGGTCACTAAAGCAGGTTCGACTGTACTATCCTTTAGTGCAGTTTGCATTAACACTACCAATCCTGTCTACCTTTAACGTTCTTTCGGTATTAAAAACGTGTTGTACTTTGATCACCATGATGACTGAGATCAAGTTACTGGAGTGGTCATAGGTATGGATACCACTTCAAAATATATATTTCTTGTTTGCTTGCTTTGAGTGTCTCCTTCTGCAAATTCATTACCAGAAAATTTGAAATTTAGACCGAATATAACCTAAAATTAAATCTATACACATGTTAATGTACTTATACATATCAAAATCTGCATGCAATAGTATGGTACATCCATGTACTGTACCTACAAATGCCAACAATACCTGTATTTAAAAAAAAATCATCTCATAAAAAAGTACGGTAAGCCAGTGTAGGGAAATATTTCGTTATTTAAAAGCAAAATTCCACTTTGTACATTTGTTCGAGCTTCATAAATGTTATGGGTAATATATTTATTTACACAATTTGTAGAATTTTATAATGCTCCATTTCTCCATTTATACTACCATTCATATGATTTCGAAAGCAAACATTAATGATCTTTCCAATGCAAAAAATTAACAGGTGTAATCTTGTCCCGAGTATATTCAATCAACTATCTTATTTTGGTAAACTGTAGTCTGTTGGTGGTCACAATTTCCACTATTTCAATTCAATCATCTCCCCCCAAATTGTCCCTTCCTGCAGAAGGACCCTATGAGTGCTTTTCAATAATGGATTACAGTAAACACCAAGGCCTTGTTTATCACCACCAGCTAACCCCCCTTTTCTCTCTTCCTTGCTTTGTCTGTAACGGATCAGCGGGTTTGAATGGCGCAGCCTGAAAAACAACCGTTTGGGGTTTGATCAAACGTGAACGTGACCCCGCCCGGGTGCAGTGTCTTTCACACAGGGGACCACCTCCTCCGTTCACCTCGTCTATGCTTCTATTAATCCCCTATTCAATGTATCTTGTTTTCGTGGATGCCTGCTTGAAACATAATGAATTGTATCGATGGCTCGCGATCGATAAGAAACATGACAATACGTCTCATATTTTGTTCAGTACTTCTATTCGGCGAAACGAAAGTTGATAACAAAATTCACAACTAAAAACCTCCCATTATTTCACAAAGTCCTGTTTTAACTACGGAACATAAAGTTAAAATTGCATCAATGATTCACAATTCTTAAAAGCATGAATTCTCTGAATCTTACATATCATATTTCCTGAAAGGAAATCAATAAACTATTTATATCAATGACTTAATATGATTGATATAAACACATAAGATCACACTAATCCTTGCATCTCTTTGCCACACAATTGTTTTTAGATGCTGAATAAAACAAAAATCTTAATAAAAAGCCCAAAATTGCAACCAATACAAATTATTCTCCCAATGCCCAATCCTAATTTAATTTTTCATGTTCAAGATTAATAAAAACATAATAGGCCTAATTAAAAGAAACACAAAAGGTGTCAGGAGAGAAAATAATACAGATTATTGTTATGAAAATATTAATGTGATGACCCAATTTTAAAAAAATG